AATAATAATAATAATAATAATAATAATAATAATAATAATAAAAAAATTAAAAAAGTACAAACTTTCATATATAGTATAGTATAAATTTTGATAGTAACAAAACTATATACTTTGTCTTAAGATGATATTGAATTCTACTAATACTTAAAGAGAAACAAAAGAGGAGTTTAACAGTACTTGATTTTCAAGCTCCTCATACGATATTATTAATTATAATAATTAATAATAATTAATAAAATTAATAATAATAATGATGTTAATTATAATAATAATTTGAATATCTTCAGTATACAAATAATAATACAAAACCATACAAAATTCTAACATATGACACTGAATTATATTGGATCGTTTAAAATGATAGATGCATAAGTGAGATAAATCATTATAGGTGGGTGTGAATGTACGTATGCATACATACCCCTTTCTCTGTATCTGTGTAATTTTGCTTTCTCCAGCAATTAAATTTAATACCTTCCGACATGTTGATAATTATTTCCTGTATACAAAACTAAACTTGTTTAGCACATTTTTGCACTAAATTTAGAATACACAATTTCCGTAAGTCTTTTTCCCTGTAGAACACAATGTTCGTTTCCAAACGTTCGTTCGTCATTTTTTAGTTATCACAAATTATTGTTCCTCGTATTTATTATTGTTTCAAATATTAGCAGAGCTTAGAAGCCTTCCCCGTACTTTATATTAATGTAATTATAATTCTAATTACATAGTCACTTTGTCCAAACATTAGCTCACACCAGGGACAGGCTGCATTTTTGGTAACTTTTCTTTGTCGGTACATATGTCTTTACCTGAAGTAAGTCCACTTTCTACCCATGAAGTCTTTAAAAAAAATATATATCAAATGGTATTATGAATGCTACTTCATAAGACAAAAAGTAGGACTATGGATTCGGGGGAGGTGTAGTTGATGTTGTATGAGAAGTGGCTGATGCATTAGCAACTACTGTCGGACTGGCCGGCTGTTGCAATGGCAGGAACGCTGAGCCCAAACTTGGTTTTAATTGGAATGATACACATGGTTTCGAACAATACTCTAGTTTGCTCAAGTCAATCATAGGTCGCCTAAACAAATAAATAAAATTCGTCTTTCATTATGATATTCTTTCTCTAATTAATCCTTAAAGATTATTGACTTGCATTTTCAAAATAATAAGATCTCAATGTTAAATCAAACCTTTCCAATAATTTAATAATTTAGTTCATTGAAAACTCGTACATTCTAATTTAGAAATCTAATATTTACCTCGTATCCTCTACAAATTTGAGGTTGACCTTCTCACAGCCATCAGGAGGTTCCCTTGCAAGAAACCTGTTAATATGAGGGGACGTTCCAAGACGACCTTCTCTATCTTGTTCAGGTGTTGATCCTCGGCTTCCACCTTAATAATAAAAAAATACAAAATTACTAAATATTAAACACTGTAATATTACATATTAAAACATAATAATAAATAAAAATAAATTTAATTCTCTATGCATTGTATAAAACATTGTCAAAACATATATATATATATGGATATTTTATTATATATATATATCAGAATGTATATTACAATAGCATGCTCATTAAAATTGGGATGCATTTGTACACTAACGGCATTTCTGTGCTATTTTTATACACGATAAAATAATACATGTCTGTCAAGTATTTTAAAATAAACATAACAAAAAGAAGAAAGCAATAACTAAATCATGATCTATGAAGTGATACATGGCACTTATGTTAGATATCTAAAAATGAATTATATTTTTTTTGTCTTAAAAAAGAATCATGAAATAATATTGTCATAAATGATATATTTGCGCATCACAATAAGTTTCTAAAAGGATATCTAATAGCTATAACTATAAAATACTTTTAAATGTAAAAGTCAATCAGTTACATTGCCATGCATTCATGTGATGGATTTTTCTTAATAATTTTTAAAAAATTAGTTGTATTTTAAAGACGGAAAAAGCAATTTATTTTTATAAAAAAAAAAGAAAAAAATTCCTAAATATCATCGCGATTTTTTAATAATCAAAGACAAAATTAAGCGATGCAGTGAAATTCATACCGCTGTATGCAATATTTATGGAAATATGAATGAACATTCTACTATCTTGTCAGAGAAACTGTAGAATTAATTGAATTGCATTTAAATTTCTATCTATGCTTTAGAAATTTTGAATAAAATGCTTACAATGTATATGTAGATATAATATAATGACAGATATGAGATGTGCACATCTGTAATATATTTAAAACAAACGCTCCCACATGCGTGCGTATGCACTATGTGTTGAATAAATAATTGTAGTATATATATATACACATATAAATAAATACATGTAGATATCACAGTAATTTCAAAACATGCTGTTTATTAGAATTGAATAAAACAAATAAAATTGTTTAAAATCATAGTAATTTTACTGCATGTTTTAGAAACACTGAATATGTATATATGTGTACTATATTATGCATAGAGAATGTTTTAAGATTTTATTTAACATTTGTAGGTGTAATTATTTTCTTTCACATTATTTTATATAAATCATCTAATCCTACAAATGCATGTAATTTTTAAACAGACTCCATGTGTGTATTATATGTAATTATATAATAATATAATACTATATATAATAATAATAATTTATTATTTCTAATAAATCATTATATATATTGAAAATAATTATATATTATATTATTATACAAATATAAAAGTCGAAATCCTGCTACAAAAGAAACATTAAACAAATCAATTAGAAATCGCGTTAGTTTAACAAACAATCCGCAAACGTGCTCCAACCTTGGAAGAGATCGCTAGGTGAACGGGAAGCATCCATATGACCAGATATCAGCGGAGACTCAGAATTCCTAGATGGAGGGCCTGCCTCAACAGGCAGACACACACCGTAGTTAGTGTGTTATTTTTAGTTATCATACAAGTTAAATTAATTAAAAATCTATTAATTATAAATAACAAAATATAAATTTTCGAAAATGATATTTATACTGTTATCAAATTTTCAATCGTATAACATGAACTTCTAATGAGAAACTTATCAACTTATTCATAATTACAAACATTTTGTTAAAAATTCGTTCATAAGTAACTAATAACTAAGTTATTTTTTCTAATTCAGAATATTTATTTGATATACTTGTTATTTCTATTGGTAGCAGAAACGTGATACTAATAATTGTAAGTAAAAATAAAAAATAGAAAAAATAGATATATTTAAAGATGCAGAAATAACAATGAATTACCTGAGGAGTAAGAACTGGAAGGAAGATCAGTAGCTGGTGTTTGTGTGTTGACACTACGAGTCGCCCTCAACAAATCTGCCAATGGGGCACGATGTCCTTCGGGTGTCATTTGCTCACGATACCGTGCATACTAAATATGAAATAAAAATGTATTTATATTATGTTTTTATGGTCTAAATTATATTATGAAATAATACCTTATCTTCTATTGGGTGATCTGGATCATTAGTGTTTGAAGTAGATTTGAGTACTAATCCTTCAATTTCTTGATTCAGTCCTTCAATGGAAGAACGCATTGGAGGCCTCATTGGTTTAACGGGTATGCTCATAGGACTTGCTTTTGTATTCAAAGAAAGTTGATTGTCTAAAAGAATGTGCACACATTGAACATGTTATATGTAAATAAATATATATTTAATGTATCATAAATGTTATATGCATTAATATGAAATAAAATATTAGTCACTGAAAATAATAAAATTGAGATCTAGAAATTCTACATACATATAGATGTTTGTGATGCAATGCTGGGCAAAAGCACAGAATGATCACCAGGAAGAGCAGGTGGTGGGCCACCAGGCATTATAAGGCCAAAAGCTGCTGTTCTTTCCCTACTACTAGTACTCTCTTTATTTGTACGCTGTAATCTATAATAATATATCAATTGTAATAAATAATGCTATTTTTATAGTAACTTGATAATATATCCCATTCATATTAGTTTGAGCTATGCGAAGTAATTAAGTACTCAACTGAAAATTATAGTTCGCAATAAACAACAAATAAAGAATGTTTACTAAAATATGTAAAATTAATTTGAACAGGTATGCATATGTACCTATGTCTGAAGTACTTTTCTAGCTTTTCATCTGTGGTAGATTGTTCTGTAGAATGACGAGTGTGCATCTTTCTTGTTTCAATAGACCATTCTTCAGTCTAAAAAAAGAAGAAAAGAGAATAACGAAAAAGAATAGAACTTATTGAAATGTGCGTAACAGTAATTTATTATAAGAAACAGTAAGTAAATATATTTAATAATTGTAAGATAAAACAGCAAGGAACATGGAAAAGAAGAAAAATCTTGTATTAAAAAATATGCATTACAAGGAAATATTAAATATGCACACAGCGATACAACATCGAATAACAATTCTCAACAGAAACTTGATTTTAATTAATAAGCCATGTACATTTTGAAGCTTAAGTGATTTATATACCTGTGTAGATTTATCAACTACCAGAAGGCTGGAATGCATATAGTATGAATCGCGAGGCCATTGGCCTTTTAAGTATATTGTATCCAAGGATGCAGTTCTACGGATATTTTGGTTACCACTTAGACTTTCACTACAGCGACCACTTAATGTTTTCGATTTGGCTGTAAACAAAATATAGACAAATGTAAAATTAATTTTCTCTCCGAAAGGAAAAAATATATAATAAAAGATATTTTAAGAAATATTATTATCATGCTGTTATAGAAAACATTAATACAAACATGAAACATACAAGTTTGTGAGCTTATATGTTACAATGAGTGTATGCTTGAACCGAGCTATAAAGTACATATTCGGTTTGTAGGGTAGAGTATATAGAACTGTATAAACGAATATGAATAAAATTATTAACACAGAAATAAAGTTAACATGGTACCGAACTAAATATTCATATTCGGTTACCCAGTATCAACCATTTTCCCTAAATCTATCACAATAATAGAAAGGTGACAAATATAGAAGAATAATTATTTCAAGTTGCAATAGAGATCGATAGAAATAATTAGAATAAAAAGATAAATTGTTGTGCTGCTAGATTAGTAAACAAAAGAAATCTGTGGTGCTTTAATTGTTATAGGCAATATATAGTAATGCTTCAATATTATGCGTATACCTTTAACCTATGTCTCAAGAAATATTTTTTGATTATTGTAATCACATCTTTTCGGCAAATCTATAAATCATTCCAATGCTTACAAATACAGTTATGTTCAAACTGTAAAATTTACATTAAAAATTTATGATAGATAATTAGTTTTTGATAAATGAAAAGAAAACTTCTATATAAACATTTTGTTGTTATATCCTTCTTTTCTAATATAATATGTTATATGTCATCAACAACTATTTATTGTTTACATTTTAATAATATTTTCCCACAGAATGGCACATAATTATAAGAAGGAAAGGAAGTGTTAAGTAAATGAGATAATACAAAATCTACATATACCTTTGTAGGAAAGTGAACCAGGGCTTCGTTGTCCTGAGGAAGCTGAAGTCTCTGGTGAAATTCGTGTCCGCCATGTGCTTGCATTTGGTGGTGACACGGTAGGACTGTTGTTGTTACTTTTTCTTAGACTGCTGCCTTGTCGACCCTGCCGTAGCAAAGAGCTTACAGGCAGGGTGGCTCGCATTGGTCCTTGCTTTGATGTAGAGCATGGCGAAGACTTTCGCATGCGTTGAGACCCTGACATTATGTCATATAGGCTGATGCCACAAGATTACTCTATGTTCTTTTAACTTTCCTACTAGCAGTAGGTTATAAACATATGAAATATAGGCTGACTTATCGTTTGCCGGCGAAAATGACTATGACGACAAGAGAAATTGCGAAGACGACGACGACGACGACAACAAACTGGCGGTAATAAGACTTATGTCTTTCTCGTAGTAGTATTTTTGTTCTCATGGACGATGTGTCGACAGCAGAAGCAATAATAATGTGGTAGAAACTGTGATGGTAGTAGTAGTACTAGTAGTTTTGTAATAGTAGTATTACGTGGTGGCCGTGGATAGTGATGATAATAGCAATAATAATAATAGTAGTGGTAGAGGTAGTATAGTAGTAGTAGCGTTGGTGGTAAATTAGTATAGTAATAATTTTTGTAGTAGTCGTAGTGTAGTAGTAACACTAGTGTTGTGTAGCAGTAGTAGCAGTAGTACTAGTGTTGTGTAGCAGTAGTAGCAGTAGTACTAGTGTTGTGTAGTAGTAGTAGCAATAGTAAAGAGGCTGGTCGTGATAGTGCCATTTATATAGATGGTAATGATAATAGTAGTAGTAGTGCTAGTGGTGGTGGTAATGGTATTCGCGGTGGTGGTAGTCGTAGTGGTGGTAGTAGTAGTAGTAGTAATAATGTGGTGGGAGGTGGTGGTGGTAATAGTAGTAGCGACGTAGTAGTAGTAGGAGTAGTAGTATCAGTAGTAGTAATAGTAGTAGTAGTAATGTTGTTGTAGTAGTAGTAGTAGTAGTAGTAGTCGTAGTAGTAGTAGTAGTAGTAGTAGTAGTAGTAGTAGTAGTATTAGACGTAATACCAGCAACGGCGGCAAGAGTAGAAACGAAGAAAAGCTCACCACTAACGGTAATGGTGAAGAGGAATTTTCGAAGCACGATGATAGCGGTACCGATGGTGCGACAACAATACCCAACGCGTCTTGTCTTGCTTGTCATTTACAATGTTCTGCTGCTAGCTTAGCACGCGCGTCACGTGACCGCCAATCCCGGCCGGTCATTGGTGCAGCGCGAACTCATGGAGCGTCGTATTACGCTCGAATATCGCGATGCGTTCCATTCACTAACACCGTAAGAGAGACACCGTAGGGCGAGCGTCCTATCGTCCTCTTTCTTCCACACTGCGCACCACTTTTCTCCTCTTTCTCTTCCTCCTTCCGGCGTCTTCTCTTCCTCGCCCTCTCTTTTCTACTCACACTTCTACACTTGTACTTGATCGCGTTGTTCAGAGGAAAGAAAGCTCGACGCCGTCGTATCCTCGAAGATGCGCGTTCCGTTTTGCTCGGCTGTGCTCGCCTAACGAGTGCCAGGATCGAAGAAAGTCCATTCGCGTAAAAGCCCTTCGATGCTTCGAAAGCTTTCGGATACTGTTTAGTCTGCTTGACTTTTTTCCCAAATGCTTTCTCTTCTTTCTCCTCTCTATTATTTTCTTTTTACTCGTCGTGCTTCGTCTTCTTTCTTTTATCGTCCCTATTCGCGCGCGCGCACTCTAGCCTGCTTATCGAAATGAATGCATCGAGAATCCTTTCCCTCGTTCAACGTTTCAGAGACTGATCGTGACTCGGTTCACGCACTTCCCGTACGGCGTACGAGCTGTACGCGCGTGTACAAGCGCGCACATACGAAAAGAGGAGGGAGCCCCGATTCCTACGACGACCACTACGCGCGTCAGGAATCTCTCGAGCTGAAGTGACTGGCTGAAATTACATAGCCACTTCGATACGTCGAACTGGAGAGACAGAGATAGAAAGCATCAGAGAAAGAGAGAAAAAGAGAGTGAGATAGCTCGAGTCAAATCGAATCGAATCGAAGATTTCTCCCGGCGTCTCCGACGCTACTATCTTTCTTACGACTTTATATACACTAAGAAAATTCATCACCGCCGATACTTTTAATTACTTTTTCAATTTCATACTCGATTAAACTATCGGATAGATTTTTCATTTCACGTTTATCTACTTTGCTACGACGATACAAAACGATTTAAAAGAATCGAAATGTTCGAGGTATCAAATGGATGATTTTTTGACAGCCCACATAAAATTCTCGTCAGTGACTGGCCGATTCTTTTCACTAGATTAATGAAAATACTCCGTTACGACGAGGAATGGCTTTATAGTGAATGTAATCGGTCAACAACGCCATCTGGAAAAAAATGCCTGCCAAAACACGTGCAACAAAATTTCCCGCCTATTATTTTTTATCCCTCTGTTACTCTATAAATTCAGTTTTTCTTTCTTTTTATATAATATTTCACAGCAATATTTCTATCAGAGAGAAAAAATCTAAGATTACTTTATTAAAAACTTTTTTTTTAAAGAAAATATTTTCATAAAAAATTCCTTTTTTTAGATATGCGTATAATTTTTTTCCGGCTTGCTTAGTGTCGCCATCTACAGATGACGCGGTTAAGATTTGTGGGTCAATTGACCATCAGTCAACTTCATATTGAAAATTTTTTATTAGATTTTGTTAGTTAAAATTTGTTACTATTTTCATTGTTTATAAAGATACAGAATTATATATATGTTTGATTTGAAATAAAGATTAAAATGTAAAAATTGATATAAAAATAAAAAGATTTTTGAAATTTGTTAATGTTTTAGGTAAAACTTATTTTATTTCGAGAGGATCATCTTATGATGGTAAGAAATTTTGTGCAGATGAACACGTCTTAATTTATTTTTAAATTAAATTACATTTTCGCTCCTAAATAAAATTTTTTACCATCACTAAATGACTACTTTGAAATAAAGTAATTTTTATTTAAAATATTTTTTTGAATAATAGTTAGTTGAAAATAATTGCATTTAAAACTTCATATAAAACATTTCGTATGTAAACAATGAATAATTTAAATATTCTGACGAATAAAATTTGATTTTTTCTGTTACAAAAATAATTGCAATGCGGCAAAATAAAAATATAGTTGTGTCCGAATATTAAATTAATGTAAATTTTGTATTTAAAGAATTCACATGTATAACGAACGACAATTGTCGTATTTGCTGACAAACAGCAAATAAATGAATGAAATAAAAGAAAATTAATATTGGAACAATAATATTTTGTGTAATCATGGCACCTGCCGTTTATTAAAAACAAATTCGATAGTAATCATAATTACAAACAATAGTAATGATAGTATAATTGCAAAATATGTTCGCGCTTTTTCTTGTCTTTATAGCATATTTGTTTTTCACTTAAATCAATTAATTAACCCTTGGATTATCAGCATGTTGCTGCAACTTCCGATGATGTTTTTTGTCAAAAAAATAAATTATACGTAAACTCCGAAGAAGCAGTCATTATGTCACTCCCTTACCCTCTCATCCGGTTCTGTACATACATTGGAAGATAATCCGAGGGTTAATTTTTATTTTTGTGTGTACTATGTTACAGTGATCATCGCTTGATTTTAAAAATTAATTTTTTTACCACTTTTCGAAACCGAAAAAATATTGACCGACGAAGAACGGATTTTTTTTTATTTATCTTTTCTTCTCATTACGTGTTTCTTTTTGTTAATTTTTTTCTATTATTTTTATTGATGAGATGATTTATACGTTTCATTGCAAACCCGAGATTCCGTAGTACATATAAGACATTATAGTTAATTAATATACACACGCACACGCATTTTGTATAATATATATATATTATGCTAATTAGCTTATATATATATTTACTTATTAATAATTATTTTTTTTTATACATTCACGTTTTCTCGCGTACATACACGCGCGCATAGATACACATGTACATACATACAAGCACACTATTTGGGCGCACTCCACAGAAACGAATAAATTCTTATTATGAAGAGCGAATAAAATATAATTGATACACACATATATATATATATATATATATATATGTGTATATGTATATATGTATATAAATTTATACATATATTTTTGTTCGTTTCGTCGGAGCGCTGAGATCTGCAGAAAGTTTAGAACAATTTTCTATTGCCGATCGGACTGATTGAAAAGTTAGAGAAGTTTCAAACGAATTATCGAATCATTTGAACGTCGAATGAGAGAATGATACTCCTGATAATATATATATATACATATATATTTGTAGATAGGATGAAGTATCTTAGATTTTTTTGAACTAATTCATCGCTTGGACCAAAAACGTAGAATGATTTATTTTATTTATTTTGGAGACTTTAATGCCGGGCACTAAATCGGTATCTCGTTCGACTTTTAATTATGAAAGTTACTATATATGTATATGACTGTGTTAAAACGGATAGACACATGTATTTCTTGGTTTCTTTCTTTCTTCTTGTTCTTTTTTTTTCATTAGGCACTTAAATATCAGGATTTTTTCGGGAATCTCAGGATCGAGGTAATATCGAACGCTTCATCGTTTCAAATATTTACAGTCTTCGGACAATAAATGCAAGTAAAAATAAAACAAAAATATTGTTAGGAAATAAAATGAGAGGAGAAAAAGAGGGAAAGATGAAAAGAAAGAAAGATATATATGTTATAGAGAATGTATAAAATGCCTAGGCTTTGTCCATAATACCGAGCCATTTTTGTCAATGTAGGAAACAGAAGAACACACATCACAAGTATGCTGCACACACATCTACATTAAGTTTCAGTTTATAGAGGTACGCATAGTATAGCGGCACGCATAGTCTTAACAACCCTCTGCATGCTCGCTTTTGTGTGTGTGTTGATTTTGGGGGGAGGGGGGTTTGTACGTGCCTGTTGCCCAATAATGTATTCTTCTAGACATTGCGTAAACAGCGTGTGTCGCAATGACGAGATGATGAGGAACAAAAGATACAGATAAGAATTTTTCTGTTTCCTACATTGACAAAAACGGCTCGGTATTGTGGACAATGCCTGTATTGTACACATTCCATATAACATATATATATAGATTGATAGACAGGTAGATGGATAGATTGAGAAAATAATAATTAAAAATATAGAGAAATAATAAAAAAATTTAGCAATTCCCTATACAGGATCAACGATATTTGTACAATATTAAAATGTTCTGTTTCTGTTGTATCCCAAGAAATACAACTTTTCTTTCCATTATGTTTTTCTATGATCGGAGACAGTGATAACAGAGTGATAACAGATAATATTATGCGTGTGTTCACGAAGTCTAATTATAAAAAAAGAAGAATTAAATATTGTTAAATATACCTAAATTCTTCGTTGTGAATAATAATTGACTGGCCCTCATAATATTTCATAATTCATACTAAACCGATGTATATATTATCGATTATATAACAATAATGTTATGTTGGTAGTACTAATAGAGACATAGCGGTGGCAATAATAATAAGGGTAGACATTATGACAGTAGTAATGACGATGATTATGATAATGATGATTTTAACGATAATGATAATAACGATGATGATGTCGATGTTGACAATAAAATAATAATAATAATATTAATAATAATAATAATTATGTATAATGATAACAAATAATATTAATAATTGATAGTAAAATTCTGTATATATATTACGATAAAAAAGACAATAATTTTTTTTTTTTTATTTTAAATTGTCCATCATTTGTTTTTCCTTTACTTTTCTTTTTTACTCGCTTGTTTCTCTTCGCGTTGAAATTTCCATGAATATTTTCTATTATGTTTCGAAATATATATACTAATCGATAATTAGACTTAAAAAAGAAAAGCAGAATTGCTTACGTTCATCATTATTTCCTAGAATAATATCGATTAATTCTTTTAATTAAAAAAATAAGAAAGAAAACAGAACTAAAATATGTGGAATTGTGTGAAGTAGATGATGATCTTTTTCTCTTTCTCTCTTTCATACACGTTTATATGCACATCTCATACATCACATACACACATACATATACGAATACGTACATGCGAAGCCCGCTTTATTTTTATTAACGTGAAATTTGACCAAATTTTCGGCTCGTTCTCGAAAATCGGAAACGACGGCGATTTTACTTAAAATTTATTTCTGTGATAATTTTTGTTCTGTTCTTTGTTTTTTCCCCTTGATTATAAATAGGTACGGATGATTATGAAAAGAACAAAACCTTCGATCGAATCGAAAAATGCATTCGACTGTTGGAAGCTTTCGAAATTGTGCGCCTTTTCTAAATGTAGAAATGTATATTACGTGTAAATATTTGTAAATACTTAGAGATATGAAAATAATTGAAAATAAAAATCGCGATTTTTTCAAACGATCCAAGAGTAATCTATTTAGATTTGGCAGTGTAGGCGAGTACAGTTGTTCTTGATTATTGTTGCTGTTACTGTTAATAAACTATAAAATTGAACAGTAATAATAAATGGCAGTTCTTGAAAGGGCAGTATTTTTAGTATTATTATACTATAATCATTAATTTCTCTCGATTATCGAAGGTTTTTCTTGTAAGATCATACGCCGTTTGTCGGTCAATATCGGCCGGCTTCGTCAGTCGTATATTTTCGAATAATTATTTTCGGAAATACGATTTTGTTATTTTAAATATCGTAGGAGCGTAGGATTATTTACACAGAGACGTAGTTATGCGATGACGTATCTCGTCATATACGTAGAAATCATATTATTTTTTTTTTTTTTTTTTTACATAGGTCGTAATCATCGTCAAATTCGTAAGATCGAAAAGCGCAGGAAAAGAATCGCCTTTTTTATTTTTATTCTTAATTTTTAATCTGTATTACCTTCAGGATCTCTCCCGCCCTCTTTCCTTCCTCCACTTAAACGCGTTTCTTCTACTTAAATGGAATTTTCATATTTACATTGTGATTTGTTATTTCTCTTTGTATTTTTTCTTTTCTTCCTGTTTCTTTTTGCTTTTTAGCGATAGTGTGTGTGTGTGTGTTTTTGTTACCTATTTTTATTTAGAAATTCTATCCCCGCAAAATGACATGCACTCATTATTATCGTAATTATTATTATCTCTTATATTAAATATTTATGTATGTACTTTATATTAATTAAATTGTTATTTTTTTTTTTTTATATTTTTATTTTCTCCCTCCGTCTTTCCACTCGAGAAGCTACTTTGATCTTCAGAAAAATATCGAGGAGCTTCGAAAATACTACTCGATTATTAAATACACGCTCGTGCCGTTTAGACTAAATACATACATACATACATAAGTAATATATTTTTCTTTTGTTAAACGGCGAAATAGATTGGCTTTATTTCTTTTTTCGGGATAAAAAAATACGATTCTCTCGAGGAAGATAGTTTTTCTCATACACGCATACACTGCTGCAATTCTTTTCATCGCAATATTATTCGGTTTTGGTATCGCGTTTTAAGGTTTTATTAGAATTTACTGAAGTTAGAAGATCAACGGAACGATCAAGTATAATTTCGGATTTTTACATCTTGTATTTTTTTTTTTTTTTCATTTTTTTTGGCTTCGAAAATAATTTATCATTACAAAGAAACATACGTAAAAATTGTACGTTTCTTTATCTTACCTATACTCATATATTTCCTTTGATCTCTTATGAAAACGATAGGGTCATTTTCGAAATTCTCTAATACTTTAAAACGAGACACCATTTTTTTGTTCTGTTCCTACTTTATCATTGCAATACATCATCGTTCGAAAATATGCCCCGTAGATTGGTGAATAAGTTCGAAAATATGCAATATCGTACGCGAATATCGCTTAAAAATAGATTCGAATATTACAAAAAATATTTTCAGATCCTTCCAGTTTAGAGATCTTTTTTCGTTTTCTCTCTTCCTCCCTTTTTTTATTTTTTTTCTTCTTTTTCGCAGATTGTCAGACTAATCGGCAAGATTGGGGCAAATACATACGTACATAATATACATACATAACATACATACATGCATACATACATACATGCGTACATATATTATGTATCTCATTTTTTCTTTTTTTTTTTTATTCAATCTTTTCTTTCTTTTCGAAGAACTAAAATTTTCCAAAAATATATGAAATTCCCTGTTTCATCGGAATCAATTGCACGCTTTTTCGAACGTCGCAGAAACTTTTTATTTAACACATCGTTAACTGGTCTCAATATGGAATCTGGTATCAACATCATAACTGGTCATCAAAAACGAATTTGCGTTTGCGCGAGCACACATGTATAATTATTGAAGTATAAAATTATGTAAGTAGTTATTATACAATGGGTAGAACAAAACAGTTTACAGAAAATTTACAAAATTAATTGGATATTTTTTTCCAGACTTTGTAGGCTTGAATCATAATTAGGCTTGTAATGTTATAATCTAGAAACAAAAATTTGCCCATAACATGCGACAGAAAAGAGAAATTAATTTTTCCAATCATCTAAGAACTTAAGGGGATCATCATATAATTTTGATGTTACCAATTTTCTTAATTTTTGTATATTTTAATTACGAGAATATAACTGGATGAGAAAGATATTACATTTTTGTATATAACAGACGGTAAACAATGTGTTAATGAGAATCCAACGGTACATAGCAGTTTCTTTTTTCTTTTCTTTTTTTATTCGACCATCACTATCTAATTTTTCTATCTTCCTTTCGAGAATCAAAAATCGACGACGTTCGTTTCGTCGTGACGCATTTTTTCTCGCGCGTGTAAAATTGTACGATATTAAAATACAGCTTCTTGTATTATAATTCACATGAAATGTTTTTTTTCTTTCTTCCCCCCCGCCCCGAGCAACTCGACCACCCGTGTATTTCTCGCTTATTTATTTATTTATTTTTTATGCGTTCTTGCGTAATTTTAGGCTTATCATCCTAATAACGAATCAACGATCTACTCTTTTCTTTCTTTTTTTTTCTACATTTAGTTTCGTTAAGTCGTCTAAAAATATGTATCGCGTATAAATTCATTATTAATAATAATAATAATAATAATAATAATAATAATAATAATAATAATAATAATAATAAAATGTTTCATCTTCACGATCGCAGATTATTATTCGATCCACGATACCGCCTTAGATCATTTGTTTAATTGTTTTGTGTAGAAGATATCTTAACACGGAATGTCTCTATACACACGAACATATATAGTACAACACGATTATTACAATATTCGATTTTTAAGAGTGCGGACGGTTAATGACTCGAGTCTAATCGTGTCGCTTCTCCGTTAGCATTCAATATATTTATATACTTTGGAGTGTATTGTAGTTATGTAATAAAATATTTTTGTGATGTGTAAACATGTCGCTCGTCGCAAGAACAATGCTGAGTATATATTTTTTTGTTGTTATTTAATTAATATATTATTATTTTTATTTTTTTTTTTTTTTAATTTTCTTCCCACACATGATGAAGTTGAGCTACGTAATAAAATATTTATGATGTCAATATGCTTCGAGAACAATGCTATAAGTATCTATTTATAATTTCTTTCTTCTCTTTTCATACTCGAATAAAATGCAAAATGGAGAAACTGCAATGCAATTGTACTCGAGACTCCGTTTATTTTCATTTTCATTAAATTAATACCTTGTGAGAGATACGTAATTTGTGTGATGCTTAATTTTTCCGGTATGAATACTTGGCGTGTATATGTGTGATGTGTATACGACTCGCACAAAAAGTTAGAGATTTATAACTTATAATATATATATATATATTTTTTTTATATTTATGTGTGAAACTTTTCGCTTTCGCAAATGACATTTATTGCGTTCGATTGTAATGATTTCTTTTCTTTTCAATTTTTATAATGGATTGTCCTATGTTAATGAAACATATTTTATTATACGTATATATACGTATCTATTTATGTACGAAAGTATTATCGTTTTGTATACACGCCTGTAATACAATTAATTAAATATTAGATTTCTCTTCTAAGGAGAAATGACGTGTACATTTTGACGTGAATAAACATTCACGAGCATTTTGAAATAACCCTTTCGATTTAGTACCAGGAACTAATTAGATTCAGCTTAAAAGATTACTCTCAATATATATATATATAAACGTCATACATTGTTGAAAACAACAAAAAAAGGGAGGATAAATTGCACATTATGCATATACATATACGTATGTACATGTACGTTTGAATTTTCAGAGTGCATATAAGTTGGAACTTTTGAATAAATATACATATGAAATAATATATATA